ACAGAGGAAACTGTCATTTTTACACTGTGCATGCATATTTTTTTTTTCCCTTCTCATCCATTTAGACTGGCTGTTATGAAAAAATTCTTCACTGAAAGGGTTGTCAAGCATTGGCACAGGCTGCCCAGGGCAGTGGTGGAGTCACCTTCCCTGGAGGGATTTAAAAGATGTATAGATGTGGCACTTCAGGACATGGTTTAATGGGCATGGTGGCATTGGGTTGACATTTGGACTTGATGATCTTAGAGGTCTTTTCCAACCTATATGATTCTATGCTATCTTACACTCAGACCTTTGGGAAACCCCTGCCGTGGGGGTGTTTACAAGTGTGCTATATGACTATATTGCTCATTCCTCCTTTCCTGTACACTTTGCTGTTACCCTGCACTGCACTCCTTGCCCTGAAACACACACACTGCCATCCACCCTCCCTTCAGTGCACCAGGATTTCTCAGCTTCAGCCTTTCACAGCCCTGATGACCAAGCAGAGTGGCCCAAAGGCTATCACCATCCTCTGAGGTAGCTGGATCATACGGGGAATCTGCCCTGCCATAACATTGCCATGTGTTCTCCTGCATTGGGATGGGTCTGCACACACCCAAGACTCTCCTTGAGAAATGACAGGTGATTTGCTGTATGTTTGATGTGCATTAAACTCAACTCCATTCCTGTGCTCAGATTTATTGATGAGTCTAACAGCTCTACCCCTGCTGATTTGGCATTTCATATCTGTGTAATGGAGAAAGGCACATTGATTTTGCTGTTATCAAAACCCTCTTGTATTTGCAGTCTTTTCTCTTCCTGCAATTTTCTAATTCCTTCTGGAAAACATGCTACACATTGTCAAGATCAAAATCCTGAGACATCTTGTTTAAATCAAGGGATTCTTAGCACCTTCTGTTTCTTTTGAACATCCATCTGTGCAGTAATAACAAATCAGAGAGCTACTGAGGTGTGGGGGAAGGCATCAGCAAGGACCTCAGTCTGTGGTCATACTTCCTATTATCATACATCACAATGGTATATTATGCTGATAAAGCAAATTAGCAAAGTTCCTCCTCAAAAAGCACAGTATAAAAATCTTTTAACACACCAGAGTCTTCCACTAACAAGTCAAGTATTTTTAGACCATTTATAATAGAGCATAAGCAGTCACAATCTTTCTTACCTTAGATCAGTCTATAACACCACCAGCATCTCCAGCTGTCTAGCCACCAACACAACCTCTACCCTGTTTCTTCACTTCAGCTACTCCTCCTGTAAAACCAGGGTTAGGGTTAGGGTGACCTGTCTCCTGTGTAAACACCCATGCAGATCTGAGTCCCATTTGCCACACAATCAGGAAAATTTATTTTATGTCATCTTCTCACCCAAAGATTTTGTAATTTTTTTTTTAAGTGACAAAATGTCTTAGGGGGAATTGTGGGCAGGAGGATGCAGATGAGGCTGAGCTTCAGCTGGGTTTTCTCCAGCTCAGCAGCAGAGCTTTCCCTCCAGCCCCCCAGGCTTACAGGTGTGTGCTTGCTCAGCCAGCTGTGCACCCGCAAACTCAAAACACCTTGCTTCACCTTTCCTAATAAGCATGCAATCAAATTAAGGCAGCAACTCATTAAATGTGGTGGTGTCCTTTCCTGAAATGGCTCTCTGCTAAACCAAAATATAGTCATAAACATGGAAACTCCTACAGTTTGGTGTGATATCATCATTATTCTATAGCAGATCAATATTAATAGAATATTAAAAATTAATGCACATGTTTCTATTAATAATTAATAATATTACTTCAATATTAATAAAACTAAACCAAACATTGGCACAGAACTCCTAAGTGGAGTGAATAAAGGGAAGTGTTTAAACCAGGCTCTCTCTTAACAAGCTGTGCATGCTGGGGAATGAGACTGCTCCCTTTCACTAAGGTGTTTCCAGGACTGCAAGAGTTTTGTTCTCTCTTCTCATTTGTTTCCTCCTGTTCCGAGCTGTGCCTGGCCTGGGATCATTGCCAGGGTGATGCTGAGGCAAACTGAGCAGCACAGGGGTCTGCAGAAAACCTTTCATGGCAGAGCTGGTTCGAGGCTGGCCGCCTTTTCCATCATTCCTACTGAGTCGAGTTTGCTGTGCCCCTCAAGTCAAAAGCTGGAAAAGCAGAGGGGTGTGCATGGCTATTTGCATTTTTAAATACCTCTTGTGGTCACTGGTTTATCTATTATAGCAGGGAAAAGGCTTTTTTCCCCCCTTCCAATGCAGAAAGAAATTAAAGGCACTTTGCAGATGTGGTTGGGTTAGGAAATCTCCCCTAGGATGCTGGAAAAGATAATTGATTAGGACAGAGTTTAGGAAAGAATTGGGATGCAAAAGCTTCATCTTTCTTCCAAAATCTTGTCTCAAATCAACTAACCATCGTGAGCATCAATTAATGAGAATTAAATTACTAAAAGGGGAATTGTGGCAATAATGATTGCCAAGTGAATACAGTGGGGATGTAGGACAGTGAGGTTTTGCCTTCAGCTCTCCTACACCAGCAGCCACCAGCTGCTGGAGGGAAGGTTTGGAGTAGCCTCTCGAGGACAACTACAGGATAACATCTCTCTCAAAGAAGCACCTTCCTAATGCCCTGTCCAGGAGCATCTGCAGGGCATGAGTGCTTCCATCTCTTATAGATAGTGTGAACTTTGAACTCATCTAATTGGGGCTGTTCTCATTACCCAGATAAATGCCTAATCCCAGGAGTTAATTGGCACAAATTACAACTACAAAGTTGCTCTGCTCTTGTCTGATAAACTCTCCTAGGAGTTTGGTTTGGCAGGTCTAAGGCAGTCATCAGCTATAATTCTCCACTCACTTACAATGATATAAACCAGGATTATTACCTTCAGGAGAACCACTGGTGATTTATGCCAGTGGGAGATGAGAAGCGGAGTCAGTGTTTCCTGCTATGGTTCATCATTTTGAGCACCATGACAGTGTGCTTTGGTAAAAGTGAATGGAGCAGGAGATGGGACACATACACATTTGGGCTGCTTCAATTTTCCTTCTTGATTTTCCCTTCCAGTGTAAATTGAAGTCCATGATTTTAAGCTAATTTTATATTGATAGACATGGACCGAAAAGCAACCCCCAGGCTGCCAGCACGTTCCTCCTCTGCAGATACACTGTGTGGGTGCATGGGGTGTTTTGGGGAGCCCCAATATTCAGTGACAGTGGCAGGATCAGGTTTTGGGTTTGTTTTTGAATCCAAGTTGTGGGGATTTCAGGTCACTGCGTTAGTGTGGGAATAAGCTGGTCTTTCACCAGCACACTCCAGCCCATTGGGTTAGAGGTGGGTCTCTCTAAGGCTTCAGGTCTAAAACTGATCCCATTAATGCAAACCACATACAAATTCACTGTTTGGTGGCACCTCAGACTTTCTATTTTTTTTTTTTTCCTACAGGACCCAAGTCTGTTGCCACTTGCACAGCTCCTGTATCACCAGTGCAAAGGGTGGTGCAAAATGTTGTGGGCTTAGGAGCAGGATCCCTGGAGTTGGGCTGTTTAGAGTCAGAGGAATGCAATCCCATCTCTGGAGACACCTATTTTTCTAACGTGTGCAGGATCCACAAGGATCTGGCAAAACAGCAGGTCCAGTTGTTTCTTTCTGTCTCTTCAGGGAGGCTGTGGAGCCCAGTGGAAGTTACCTGGTAAACTCACTGGGACATTTCTCATCTTCTCTAATACAGGTGTTTGCTTTAATACAGGCATGCTAACTTCTCCCAAACCCCTCCTCGTCACCAGCAGCAAAAGCACTGATTGTCGAAAGATGAATGACTTCACTTTTCCAGTCCCAGCATATGTTTGCATGTCTGAGAGCAAGAAATGTGTGAAACTCACACAAACTATTGGAATTCCAGCTCCAAGGACTGGCAAGTAAACATGAAGCTGCACAGTATTTCATAGAAAACCCACAAATGATATGTTTGATGGGCTAAAAATGATCCTTTGAGGCACGTGCCAAGAAAAACCTCTTGTATGAGTTACACCAAGATTCCTCCATCTTCTAAGACTGCAGCTTGGTTGAGGAGTTCATACCTTGCAGACTGCTGAGGTTCCCCAAAAGCAGCCAGAAGTACACCATCTTTTGCTAAACTCTCCGTAAGGAGCTCTGCTACCTTGGGTGAATTGAGTATATGATAACAGATTACACTGAATAAAAATGGAAAGCCACAATGACAAAATAATGTTATAATATTAAAATAAATCAAATAATATACTGCCATTATTCTGATACAGAATTTTTACACAGCAAATTTGATACATATACAAGAAGTCAGGCAGCCCGTTACAATAAACTTCAGGGTTCCTTTTTTAATATAAACTACATCTAAATACATAGTCTGAGATGATCAGGTAGTTTTACACCGACTCAAGTAACAACTTCTTCTCATCTTAGAATACTAAAATAACAAAATCTTTTAATGCTTTGAATATTGAAATGCTTTGGTTCCACCTGCCACTTTTAAAAAGTGTAAAACTACATCTATTGGTTAAACTTTTACCCTAGAGATGCGCCTAACTTATAAATACACTTATATTAATAAAGATATGCAATGAAATGTCCATACAGTTGTTTGGCACTCATCATATGCTCCACACTATGCAATTATTCAACTCCCAGTTTGATTCAAGCATTCCAAAGTGTAAAAATGTGGCCAAAATTTTCCAAAATTGACAATAATCTTGGATGTTTTCATTCTGGGGTTAAGCTGGAACCACAAAGATCACAGGACAGTTCAGAAACTGTGAAGCTCCTGCCCTCACCTTAGCACATCTCATTTTGCTCACCCCAAAATGAAAGCGAGTCCCTCCTGAAAACCTCGGCCACTACAGCACAGTATCTCATCTTCAGATCTAATGTTGGTGAGGCAGGTAGGTTTGGTCAAGGGTTTCCCCTGGCAAGTACCTTGTTTGTCACAATAACGAGAAAAAGAATACATGGAGTGGCTCTGTCTAGCGCAGAATAGCTCCTGCTAAAAAAACACATCTTCTTTTCTGAAGTCTGGTAAACATTTGAATTTGCTGGGAGAAGTCCGTACGCAGGCCAGGGTGGGGAGACACGGGCAGGTGTGGTGCATCCGCCGCCCGGAGAAGGGAACCTGGGGACAAAGAGCACAGGCATCAGGGACAGGGAGTACAGATGATCATAGAATCATAGCATCATTAAGGTTGGAAAAGACCTCCATGATCATCAAATCCAACCATCAACCCAACACCACCGTGCCCATTAAACCATGTCCTGAAGTGCCATGTCTACACATCTTTTTAATCCCTCCAGGGATGGGGACTTTCCCCCCCCCCGGGCCAGCCTGTGCCAATGCTTGATAACCCTTTCAGTGAAGAAATTTTTCCTATTATCCAATTCAAACCTCCCCTGGCACAACTTGAGGTCATTTCCTCTCATCCTATCACTAGTTACTTGAGAGAAGAGACCAACTCCTTTCAGGGACTTGGACAGAGCCAGAAGGTCTCCCCTCAGCCTCCTTTTCTCCAGGCTCAACAACCCCAGTTCCCTCAGCCGGGAACTCAGCACACTTGTGCTCCAGACCCTTCCCCAGCTCCGTTGCCCTTCTCTGGACACGCTCCAGCACCTCGGTGTCCTTCTTGGAGTGAGGGGCCTAAAACTGAACCCAGCACTCAAGGTGCAGCCTCACCAGCGCCCAGTACAGGGGGACAATCACTTCCCTAGTCCTACCAGCCACACTGTTGCTAACACAGCTGATGGTGCTTGGGGGGATGGATTCGGATACACAGTGGGGATACCGGGAACACCACCCACCTCCCTCCATGGCAGGAGATCCCTGAGAGCTGCAGCATGGGAGCCAGGCAGCAGATGGCAAAGCCAATCCCATCACATTTCCTGGTCAAGCCACAGTTCAGTGCAAAATTTAACAGCAATTAATTGACAAAATTGCTGTGTCAATCTGTACCTGTGACACATGTTTTTCCATTCACTCCTGTTTCATAAAGGTGGTTGTGAAACCACTCGCCTTTAGCACCACGTCTTGTGGTGTTTACTGTGCAGAGGTTTCTCCTTGCCCTGATTCCTGCATTACCAGACGGCACGGAGAATCCTGTCAGCCACAGAGCAGGACCCGGGGACCACAGGATCCCGTCGGAATTCAGGCTGGATGGCATCTCTGTGGGTCATCTCACCTGACCTCCCTTTGTGCAGGATCCCCTTGCCACAGGGCAGAGCTTTGGCATTTCATCCCATGCTCCTCTAGCCACACTGTGTCACAGGGAGCACACACATGGACTGCATTAAATAAATTTAATTGTGCCATGACACACACTGACACTCTTAACAACTTGATCACAAGCTCTGTCTTTTACAGGAGCTGTGCCTCCACCAGCACATGAGCTGAGTGGGACAGCCCGGTGTGACCAGGAGCCGTGGTGCTGCTGGCTGAGCATCCGACGGGATGCAGCGAGGGAAGCACAGAGGTACAAAGCCATCACTGCCAATCAGGAATTCCCTCATTTCCTGTTTTCCCTTGATTTTAATATTCCAAAATTGGTTTTTGTCAGCGTGCAATTCTTCCTCTTTAAGAAAATCAAAGAGAGAAAGTCCCAGATGTTCCCCCATACATCACCCCAAGGACATGCCTGCCTCCAGTGACACCCCACCGGGAGTGGGGGGTGAGCAGGGGTGAGCAGGGGGTCCCCATGCACAGCACAGCACAGCACAGCAGAAAAACCTAAAATCTGAGCTCCTGAGGCTGGTGGGCTGACTCAGAGGTACCTCTCAGCCCTCCGACAGCTCTAATGATTTATTCAAAACCTTACATTCACTGCAAGGAAACATTCCTTTCAGCGCGACTCCCACGCTAAAGATGTGGTTTAATAAGGCACCCGGCTGGGGACAGGCAGCGGGTGACAGCTCTGCAGGTGGGGTGCTTTGCTGGGACACGCAGCTTCTGCCTGTGCAAGCAGAGCCCACCCACCCAGAGCTGGTGCTGGTGATGCTGGCCAAGCCGGTGCATGCTTTGCCACGCCGTGTGCCCAGCACCAGGTTTTAATGAGCATGGGGCAACAGGAGCTTGGAGGTGAAAAGAAAACAAGGTGAACCCCTGTGTCTCTCCCAGGAACATGTGCAAGGTGCACAGTGGTAGCAAAGCCATCCCCCATGCCACCAGCTGACCCACCAACCCTCACACCTGCCCTGCCCTGCCTGCAAACCCTGCCTCTGCCATGCCAACCAAGTGTTAACAGCATCAAGCCAACGCCATCTAGTTGCTGAGAAGGAAACTAGAAGGTGGAGACCCAACCAACAACCATCTTCTCCATAGAATCATAGAATTGTTTTGGTTGGAAAAGACCTTTAAGTTCATCGAGTTCAACTGTAAACCTAACACTGCCAAGTCCACCACTAAACCATGTCCCTAAGCACCACATCTACATGGCTTTCAAATACCTCCAGGGATGGTGCCTCAACCACTTCCCTGGGCAGCCTGTTCCAATGTTTGATAACCCTTTCAGTGAAGAATTTTTTTCTAATATCCAATCTGAACCTCCCCTGGTGCAACTCGAGGCCATTTCCTCTTGTCCTATCACTTGTTACTTGGGAAAAGAGACCAAAGTATCTCCAGGCTCCTCTGAAGGTCCCCAAGGTGGTGACATGGCCATGGTGGTGCCTGCTTTGTACCTGACCTGCACCTAGATGAAAGGTTGTGGTGCTCAGGGCAACTGGTCTCCCAGCTGTCCCCTACCCAAATATTTAGGGGAGCAAAATCTTTATCCTCAAGAATACCTAATTTCACATGCTACAGTAAATCAGTTTGCTTTGTGTTTGTCATGTAGAGCAGTGGGGTGAGGAATCTAAATCCAAAATTAACCTCATAAAGCTTATAAACATCAGTGACTATGACTGTAAGTCTGAGGTGGACAGGCATCTTCTCTGATTGTAATTATACAGGCAATTAGCTTAAAATGTATCAGACAGTGTAAATTATTGCCAATAGCAATAAGGTCATTAAAAAAGCCTAGAAGACAATTTCTTTGTTAATGTAAAGAGCTCTTACAAGAAAAAACTGCTACATTGCATAATAAAAATGAGAATTTGGTCCCCAATGCCCCAGCAGAAGATTTAAAAATTTAATAATATAGTGTTTTGTATTTTTGTTATAGAATAGAGCCCTGAACTTCCTAAAACTTAGAAAATATATGATAGATACTGAGCTGAGGAGCCAGGCATCGGGTAAGACAGTGAGAAAGGCAGTGAACTAACCACACATTTACAAACTAAACTGATTGCCTTCATATCTTTCACGCCTGACAAATCTTGGGTCATACCCTTCCCTGAGGATGGCCACCAGGTTCTCAAGCTCCTTGATAACATCCCATTCAGTCTTTTGTATTGTTTATAAATAAACGGCCTTTTTCCTAGTACATAAAATAGAAAATTATGTATCCTTAAATAAAAGTATTTGTTAATACTATTATTAATATAGGGTATCATATAATAATGTACAAATATGTAACTAGTGGTATTAATATGAGTGTATATAGAATCACAGATGGTTTGGGTTGGAAGGGACCTTTCAAGGTCCATCTAGTCCAACCCCCCTGCAGTGAGCAGGGACATCTTCAATCAGATCAGGTCGCTAAGAGCCCCGTTCAAATTGACCTTGAATGTTTCCAGGGCTGGGGCTTCTACCACCTCTCTGGGCAACCTGGGCCAGGGTTTCACCACCCTCATTGTAAACAATTTCTTCCCTACATCTAGTCTAAATCTCCCCTCTTTTAGTTTAAAACCATTGCCCCTTGTCCTATCATTACAGGCCCTGTTAAAAAGTCTGTCTCCATCTTTCTTATAGGCCCCTTTAAGTATTGAAATGTGCAATGAGGTCTCCCTGGAGCCTTCTCCTCTCCAGGCTGAACAAACCCAGCTCTCTCAGCCTGTCCTCATAGGAGACGTGTTCCATCCCTCTGATCATTTTTGTGGCTGTCCTCCGGAGCCACTCCAACAGGTCCATGTCTTTATACATACATATATATTCAAAATTAATAGGTAGAATAGAAGCAAAGAGAGCCTGTGGTGATTTTTGTCAAGTAACCAGTGTGTGCCAACGCTTTCTCAATGGCTTCTGAAGGCACCAGTGGATCTCAGCCTCTGGAGCGCAATGGGACATTGCTGTTTGATGGCAGGGATTGTGCTGCAGTGATGCTCCAGGTGTGTCCCAACACCAGCTGGTGACATGTTTATGCTTGTGGTGGGATCCTGTTCAGCTCCACTGAGGTTGGTGGTGTTTGCTATGCTCCTACTCACACGCGTAGGCATTGGCAGGGATGGGTTTGGGAACTGCTAAGGCTGTGTCGGATTGTGTAATGAAGCAAAACAACAAACTAATAAGAATACAAACTGAAAAGCATGTATTACTTTCATCCTTGGATTCTCTTCAGCATAATTCTGACAGTAATGTATTTCCTTACGTAGGTACCTTCCCTGCTATTTCCATACAGATGCAAATAGCTGGGGATCGTAACGCACGGGATACTTCCCCGCATTCTCCCCACGTATAGTTTTTATGCAATGTGACGTACAGCGCAGGATATTCCTGTTTCTTTCTGCTCTGCCAGCTCAGGTCCCACAGCCCCCCTGGTGACGTACTCACTCGGTGACTCAAAGGATGGCACTCCTCTCCCAGGTTTCCCATCGGCGTGCACATTCGCAGGCTGCGGATCCAGAGGCTAACGGCACAGCACATCCCTCCTCCGCACTGCTGGTCTCGGTCACAGGCCTGGAGTTCAATACAGAAAGAGGGGAAATAAAATGAATAATAAATATATTCCAGAAATAGGACAGATCAGGTGCTCAAGAGCTGCCTCTGACACCCAGCAAGTTCTCATGGTTCATTCAGGCTGAATAAGAAGAGTTAAGGCAGATTCATAATACTTCTCTCTCCCATGGATCTGAATATAGAAGCTCCAAGCACGTTTCAGAGTTGAGCCCAGGATGTTTAAAGCCATGAACACATACAGAGCTGCTCAGGGCTGAATCCAAGACTGTCAGTGATTTACAGTCCCAAGTCCTGAGCACTGATGGACCATGGCATGTCCCACTTCACTTTCCCTGATCAGAGCCTAAGTGAGCTCAGGTGCAAGGACCAAGCACATCAAACAGTCAGGAATCCTGTCTTATGGAGAAGTTACGACAGGAAATTATCAATTAAAGACTTTTAAGTAACTATTCCTTCTTGTTTCTTATGATAATATCTTATAGCTGAGTGCCTTTGCAAATACAAGACTGCATGATAGTTTTATTAGAGAAATCCAAGTGGAAGTAGCTAAAACAGAAGTTTAAATATGGATTTTGTGGTTGTTATCTAGAATTACATGTAACTAAAAGAGGTCTCAAATGTGTAATAGAAAAAGCTTCGCCCAAGTGTCCACATCCAAGAAAATGCTGCTGTGGTAGCAAGTGGGAAGGAAAATATTTCAGCCACTTACCCAATACAGCTTAGATAAGCACAAACCAAAATGCAAACTATTGGGTATGTTTTAAAAACCAAAAACCACAAAGAACAATTCACATGTTAGGGTTTGGAAACAGGTTACTGCAGATCTTTTGCCTATTTTTTAACCAAAAGCTTATCAGCCTTTTTACTATATGTATTAAATGCAAAACCCAGTCTCATTTCTTTGATAAGAAATGCCGTTAATTAAAGGTTCTGATTACACCCCAAAGGTAAGCTTAATTAACCCACCACTCTGAACGTCTGAGAGCAGGAGTGATGGACCAAAGGCACTGATCAGCAGTATATAAACAGCCAACTTGTTAAAACACACATAAAAGATGATGATGGCTCTAGGGAAGACTGTGTATCAGAACAAACATTCACCTGAGGGAAAAAAAAACCTCCAGGTCTTTCCTTAGGATTTGCATGATAAATGTCATTAGATTGTACTCAACTGGGTAAATATTACACTAGTTCAACCAGCAGAAGCCAGATCAAAATATGTCTTTACAGATCAGCCAGTAATTTAGGAAAAAGCTGTTGCATTAGGGTTAAGCCATTAAATAGTGTGGATAAGCAAAATGTCTAGCACTCCTTCTAAACACACATTTAATGAAGCAGACAGAGAATTTACTTTTAAGACTAATATAGCCATTAGAATTTACTTTCAAGACTAAAACTGCCACTACAGCCTGCCAGGTAGATAATGTTTACTCTCTAAATCTCTCTCTCTCTCAAAAAAGCGCACTCTAATGGTCTAACTTTGCCCTAGTCACAAAAAACTGCCGGTCCAATGATTCTGGCTGCCCCAGCACGCTGGCACCCACGGCTCAGCTGGAGTCACAGGCTCTGCTATTCCTCACCAGTCAGCTCCTCACCCCCTTTTTATCCCAGTTGTATGTCAACCCCCATCCATCTCCACGGGACTGATCCTGGGGTGAAGTACCACTCAGCTGCAAAATAGGTCTGAGTATGTCCCAGCAAGCAAGGGGATCTAAAACGCTGCTCTGAACAGTTTCTTTTTAAAACTCACACACACATATATACATCTGGCAGAACTTTTAAGGCTCTCTTTCCAAAAAAGTATGACAAATTTTTAAAATATTCAACCCAAATGCTCCTGCCCCCACCTTATCTCCAATGTGTAATTCATACCAATACTCCTAATATTCACAGGACACAACAGGAAAGACATTCCTCTTCAGCACCCCATTTGAACACAGTTTTGTGAAAAATTGAGCTTGAGGAAATAGTCCCAGGTGAAATGGCAGCTCTAAACCCAACTGAAGTCAGCACACAAACCACCACTGAAGTGAGGAAGGTTTGAATCAAGTCATTATATTTCAAAGGAAAAGCACCTTTCAGGCTCAGAGGATGGGGACAGGAACACCTACGTCAGCTCTCGGCTGAGATTTGTTCATTCATCAGAAGCCAAAAATGCATCAAAGTGGTTTAAGCAGAAAGGCACTGCAATAGTTAATAAAGCAACTTTTTCTAATCTATTTTTCCTTTTTGAATCTGCTTTGTCCTTGATCTATTATTCAGCGCTTCATAATTACTTTATTTAAAGGATTAATCATGCTTTAAAGGTGTAGCCTCAACTCCAATAATAGATTTATACAAACTGGTCCTCCACTACTGGAAATATTTCTACTTAAAAGGAACTTGAAATTCTCAAATATTAAAAAATTCCTTCACACTCTCTGCTCTGAAAATTAATCATTCCTGGGAACTGATCTGACATCCAGAGAAATGCCTACGAGCTGTTTCATGGACTTCAGTGAAGTTGGGCTGGGGAGCCTGGACAGCCACGGAGTAACGCGCTGCTGCGACTACAACTTCTGATGGTTACAAAAGCCATGTAAGCTCTCAAAGGAATGCAAGCACCGGCTTATTTATCCAAAACAAACATTAGAAAAAAATCATTTTACTTAAGAGTGATGCAACGCTTTGGGTTAAATAATGTCTTGGGGAAAAAAAAAAGAAAAATATTTTCACAACCTAAGTAAATCTCAAGGCTAAAAACAACAACAACAGAGGGCTCATTGGCAATGGGTGGCTAGTGAGGGGAAAAAGCAGCACAGTCATTCTTGTTTAAAAAAAAGCAGGTTTTTGTGGTGATAGAGCGCCTGCCCTGTCAGCAGTAGGGCTGGGGGACCTCAGGGTGCACAGGCAGACAGTGCAGTGCACTGAGCCCGGCCCTCCTGGGGCAGTTGGGACTGAGGGGTGTATGGGGGACAACCTCCAGCCCTGGAGAAGCAGCAGGAGCTTCTGGACACTCACAGACCAGCCTGGAGACACCCTCCCGCCCAGTCCAGGCATCCCTCACCCCAGAGGGACAGACCCCATAGTGTGACATCCCTCACCACGGAGGGACCCCCCTCCCCCCAGAGGGACACACCCCATACTGTGACATCCCTCACCTCAGAGACTTGCAAGTCCTGGTATCGCCCACCACAGAGAGCCCCCCCCTCCATGTCCTGGCATCCCTCACCCCAGATGGACAGACCCCATCCCGTGACATCTCTCACCCGAGAGGGACGGACCCCATCCCGTGACATCCCTCATCCCAGAGACTTGCAAGTCCTAGTATCACCCACCGCAGAGAGCCCCCATGTCCTGATATCCCTCACCCCAGAAGGACCTCCAAGCTGCGGTATCAGTTAGTCCAGAGAGACCCTCAGCTCAAGGCATCCCTCACCCCAGGAGACCCCCACATCCTGGTGTCATTGACCCCCAGCAGACCCCCCAAGCCCTGACATCCC